TTCTAATTATTTTGGTGTTCACAAAAAGTGTTATAGAATGATAAAAGCCCCAAAATAATATTATAAACCTTATTTATGAATGGTTTTTTTTATTTTGCCAATATTGACTATGTGTGCACGTATTTCCTAAAAAAATACTAAGGTCATCATGCAAGTGTGTATTTTATGTATTCCTACATTAGGTTAATACTACATTGATGTGTTGAAATCATTAATTTTACTATTCTTACATGCTTAAAATGTTGATGTTATTGACTATACATGTTTAAGATATTATTGTTCATGTGATGCTGATTTATGTTAAAAAATGTTGTTCTCTTCATGTTCATGTGCTTAAATGTGTGATGGAAGGGGAAGAATGATGAGAGAATGTGGTAGATGTGAGGAAAGTGGCTAATGTTTATGTGTGATACAACTTAAGTTGTCAGGGCCCTTGTATTTATGTATGCATATATATGTTTATGTATTCTTCCATTTATCTTGAATGTGGTAGATCTGAAAAATGTGGCAGATGTGTAGAAAGTGGTTAAAATTTATGTGCAATGCAAGTGAAGTTATAAGAGCCCTTGCATTCATTTCTATGTATATATTCATGTATTCCTACATATGTCTTGAATAGATGTGAGATGATCAAGTAGAGATATAAGTGAAAGTGGAGTTATAAAGGCAATCGAGATGTATGTAATTACTTTATCTATCTTGGACAGATGTGAGATGACCAAGTGGAGGTATAACTGAAATTGGAGGCATATTGAGGCATTAGAAAATGTGAATATTATATTATGAGGTACTTTATGTTATGTTGTATGTGATGATGTTAATATTATGAAATCATGTTTCAATGAAATATTTATGAAATGCTATCCTTATTCTGAAGTCATGTTCAAGTGATGCCTACACTTTTAATGTTATATGTGCAGGTTTATAACAACTTTTTAAAATTATTATAAACATGTTAAATATTTTGTATATTGCAAATGTTAGTATAATTCACTCTGAAATATGACCTTTCGTTCATGTACTTCAAACTTATATAAAAGATGTTTCTTATACAATTATATTGAATTCTCTTGTACATAGTTTCCAATGACCTATTAAGTAAGTGGTTTGCTCACCCTACGTATTTGTAAATGTTTTAAGGAAGAAGTCAAACCCTCATTGAGTAGATTAGGTTGATAGAGGCCTTACGGGCTGACTCATTCTTAAGGGTGATCAGATTTCAACTGATTACAAATGTCAACTGTAAAGTTGAAATCTAGTGACAAATAGGGATGATTGTCTGATGTCACTTAGTGGTTTGGCAGAAGTCTACCACGACTTGGAAATTTAGGTGTCAATTAGTAATCTAGTAAAACTCTGCGGTTACTCAGTGCTATAGCAGAACTTTGGGCCTCAAGTGGAGGTTCCGTAGAAGTCTGGGTAATAGGTGGTGGTCCGATAGAACTTCGGGCCTCGTGGTGGTCCGACAAAAGTTCAGGCCTCAGGTGGTGGTCCTGCAGAAGCAAGGGCATCAGGTGGTGGTCCATCGGAGCTCAAGACCTCAAGTGGTGGTCCGATGGAGCACAGGGCCTCAAGTGGTGGTTCAATGGAGCTCAAGTCATTAAGTGGTGGTCTAGCCGAGCTTAGGGCCTCAAGTGGTGGTCTAGTGGAGCTCAGGGCCTCAGGTGGTGGTCTAACAGAGCTCAGGGCCTCAAGTGGTGGTCCAACGGAGCTTAGGGCCTCAGGTGGTGGTTCGATGGAGCTCAGGGCCTTCAGTGGTGGTCCGACAGAGCTCAGAGCCTCAAGTGGTGGTCCGGCAGAGCTCAGGGTCTCAGGTGATGGTCCGACGGAACAATAGTGTCAGGCGGTGGTCCGGCGGAACTCGGGAGGTGGTCGAGGAGAAGCAAGGAGGCAAGAGCAATCTACGATCTCTCTCTTAAATAATTTGGCTTATGGATCTCATTTCAAGAGGGAGGAGGGGTATATTTATAGATTTTTATGAGTGGCATGACCCGTAAATAGGAGGAGGAACAAGGGCAAAAAGGGAGTGGTTTGGATGGACGGCCGATGTTGAATCCCTTGATCGTGGACCATTCGTTAGACATTTGAAGGCCTTAATAATGTTGGATTTTGTGATCTTGGGCTTATTGGATTTGTCTCATCGAGCCGCTCGATTCGACTATAAGCATGTCACGTTTGGAAACCATTTTGTAATCCAAATTGTGGTTTGAACCTTCTGATAGTGTTTCAGATCCTCGATTCGGACCCATTTGGGCTTAGATTGAGTCGAATTTGATGTTATTGGGTTTGTATTTTTAAGACGTTCAGTTCGACTGTAAGTTTGCTGAAATTGGAATTTGGTTGGTCACAATTTTAATTTCAGAAGTTTCCAATTTGATTTTGCATCGAGATTCATGCCCGATCAAGATAATTTTTTGATGATGTATAGTCAATCATGAAAACATTATGTTTTGATGAAATGGGAATGAGATCTTGATTGTTGTACAAAATCATGTTGAAAGTTGTTTAATAAATTTATTTATTTTTGTTTATGCATAAATTGAATGCATTTAGAGTAGCTTTATGTGATGTATTGGGGAAACTGAATAGTTGGAAAATCATTCTTCAAAATTAGGTCTTTGATAGCAATAAGCTCATTTTCATGACCTCGACATGTATGACATATATGGGTGTAATGGGTTATGATACTGATTACCTAATTGTATACTTTAATCCAAGAAATGTAAGTAGCAAGAAGACATTTTTGTTCTTCTAGAGTGTCAAAGTCCTTAATATATCCACATAAATAGCTAAGTTTACCTCTATTTTATAACTCACATAAAAGCTTGAAGGCAAGGAAACTATAATATATGGAGATTCTTGTATTAATGAAACCATCTTGGTTGGGGTTAATGATGTGAAGAAATAAGAGTTTTAGCCTGGTAGCCAAGATGGTGGCAATAATCCTGTAAAAGTTGCTACAAAGGGAGATAGGTCAAAATTCTTATATGTTGGAAGCATGGAGAGCATTAGGGATCAAAGAAATAGTAATGACCTTAAGTAGGAGGTATTAATAAATTATTTGAATGCTATGTAGATGTGAGAGCTAGTGATCATCTATATGGCCTTATAAAATTCAAGTATGCACGTCGGGCCTAGGAACTAAACACTTGGGAGCAGAGAATATGATGGTCTTAATCGAATCCTCTATGATAGGGGTGGTTAAGGAGGGTAACATAAAATTTGGGATGAATTTTCTTAGAGGAATATGATTTGTGGTAGTGTGATCAGTGTTGGGGTGTTGAAAAATTTTAGGAAGCAAAGATCATTGGCATGTGAAATTGCTACTAGAGTGTTAAAATTGAAATTGCCCAAAGAAGTGGATACCTCCATAATATAGTTTTAGTTTTTTATGATATAAACTTTTTTATATAAGAATTTTAAACAATACCCAATAACAACATAATATTATTATCATGATAGGGTCATAAGTTACTTATAGGATCATCACTGACCTTGTAATGTCTATATGAGTTGAAACTTTTCAGTAAAATCTATAAATTTAGATTTGAAGCCCAAAATAAACCATGAAAGTATTCTAATTTATTAAATTTATTTTAATTTATATATAATAAAAATTATAATTGATTAATATATAATAAAAATTATAATTGATTATTTATTTAATTACATTTATCTTTAAATAAATTAAGATTTTTTTTGAAGTATTGCGGGGAAGAAATATTGAAGATAAATGAATAAAATATATTTAAATAAAATTAAAAATAGATAAACCAAATCATGAAGCTATATTTTATTTATATTTAAATGTTGATTAATCGTGTTTAACTTTAGTCACAAGAACCTTCCTTTAACTTTATTTGGATGCAATTACATATATAACACCTAAAATTTTAATTTATAAAGCTATTATCATTCTTACCTTATATTCACAATAAAACTTATTTTATTTTTTTTTCCTTTTTTCTCATTTTCCCAATAATTTGATTATGACATCCATAAATATACATATTTTATAATAAAAATAGACATATTTAAATCCGAAATCTTTGCCTTAAATAACACATAATAATCATATTTGAAAAAAATATGCCAATTATTTAATTTTTTGGGGAAATATGTCAGACCAAACTACCCCTTCATTGCATGCATGGAATGCTTATTAAAGTTCATTATGAAAAAAATTTGTTCAAACTAGTCCTAATTCAAACTTTTTTATAATTGATTTTATTAATGAACAAATTAGATTCAAACAATATTGGGCCGAGTTTTGATCAAATCTGATTAGAACAAAGTTCACATAGTGTTTGAACATGATTCAAGATTTTCTTCACCTACTTTAGTCTCACAAAACCCTTCTCCTCGCATATTGCAAGTACTGTCGATGTGCCCATACTAACTCCTTCACGAAACCCCCTTCTAGTCACACATTGACTGTCATATTGATGACCCCTTGCATCCACCTAATGTAGAATTGAACCCACTATTAGCTCCTATGTGAAACACTCTTTTTCATACATTCACATTCTCTTCAAGGAGTCGTAGTGATCACCAATTATGCAATCCATTCTCCTCATAAGATAAATTTTTTTTCATCTTGCATATTATGATCATGTGAAATCCTAAGGTTTGAAATTGAGGTTCAAATTTGGATTGATTTTAAGATATAATTTAAAATAATTCAAATCAATTTGCGGTGAGTTAATCTCAATAAGCTATCTGCAGTAATAAAAGTAATTTAATTTGATATGAAATTTTTGTTATATTTTCTAAAGAAAATAAATAATGAATATATTTTTTAATTTAAAATATTATGAGATATAGAAGTGAATTATTTTTAATTTTATAATATTTGAGTGATAAGTTTATAATTTTCATAATTTTTGTAATTAAATGCTAAAGGTGTGGGCCAATCAAAGCCAGTGCGGGACCCACGGGAGCCCACCATTAGCCCCACTCCAAGCTCCCACGTCAGAGCCCGAAACTGATCTGCCGCTCTCTTCCGCGTGCCCTCAAATCTCTCTTGGCCGCGCTAGCCCAACATCCAATTCCTCGGCACGACCTCTTCAATCTGCTGCATGTGCAAGCCGTTCTATTTCTGGCGGCGGTCAACCGGAGACGATCGGTGATTAAATTTTTTGATCGCCGGCTACGATGAGAAGAGCAAAAAGCGTTTCGTTGAAGAAGACATATTCGGGTCCGCCGGCGAAGACCTACTCGGTTTCACCGGCGGACTATCAGTTGCTGGAGGAAGTTGGGTACGGAGCCAGCGCGACAGTCTACCGCGCTATGTATAAAGTAGGCAACGAGATCGTTGCGGTCAAGTGCCTCGATCTCGATCGCTGCAACAGTAACCTAGTCTGTCTCTCCTTCTTTTACCATGAATTTTATGTGTTTGATTTGCTGCACTTTAAATTTGGTTCCCTTTGACGGTTTTAGAGTTTGATAGCTGTATGTGATGTCGATCGTTATGTTCCAATTGGGTTTCCTTGTTGGGCGACTTGGCGATTCTGATCAGAGGTTCTATGTGGAATTGTTAGGCTCGGTGGCTGGTTGAGTTGATTTGCGAATTATGATCATGATTGGCGCAATTTTAGTTGGCTGCTGTTGGCGTGATGCAGTTTATGCCGTTATTAGCTTGTGTGTTTAGCTGTTGGCGGAGTAGCATATTTTTTTAGGAAAAGCACATTTTTTCTCCTCTTTTGCTTTTGCTTTTGAGATTGATGAGCTTGAGGATGAGGCATTTAAAAGTGATGATGTTAGATGTTCATTCTGACAATTTTGTTGCGCTGCCGTCTTATTAAGCCCTTTGCCCTCCTCACTTGAGTGGTTGGACCATCATGGACTGTCAGATCGTGAACCGGTGTTCAAACCGATTCGGTCTAATTAAAAATCCAGATTAGTAGGGAACTGGGTGGGTTCAACCTATTAAAAATGGTGGTAGAGCCGCACAACCCTAAAAATAGGAGTAGCTGAATCACTTTGACTAGAAATTGCAATGGATATATATATATATATATATATATATATATATATATATATATATATATATATAATCATGTTGTTAAAACAATTTGAATTGATATAAATAATATTCACACCATCACGATTAAACTTTTGAACTTCGAACATCTCTTTTCACTCGTTCAATGGTTGATCTGATTCTTAAAAACTTGGACTGTTTGTTCCTTATCTAATATATAATGTATTTTTATATAGTTAAGCGATTGATTAAATATGGACCTCAGACTGAATAATGGGGAGTTAGTGGATTATAGGTTTTGATGACATTTATTTTGTGGAGTTGTAGGAGGGACATAACTTTTAACGTTTGTGATAGAATAGAGTGGAACATAAGTTCTGACCTTTGTGAAGATGAAGTTCCTTGGGAATAAACAACTAATAAAGAGGGCGATTTACTTTGGATAACTATCAGGGTTGAACTTGGATTGAGGGGCTGATGATGGGATTCATTAGAATAATTTTGTAAATTTGGATTAAGGGCTCCATGAAAGGCGGTCGAAGTTTGGTTGAGCTTGGGATTGGCAGCCCAGTAGGTGATTCATCAAGGTTAGAACATATATAAATTAGACGACTCATCATAAATAAAATAATTGGTAGTGAATTAGTGGTTGTAAGTGAAACATATTGGGGAATGATTAACTTATTTTATGGTTAAATATGAGTAAGACTCACTAGGGGTGACTAAAACTAGGTTTATTTTGAGTTGAGGGGCTTATTATAGAACTTTGCAGGTTGATTTTATAGATGGGCATAAATGGGTAGGCCTTGGTAGACTTCATTGGCCATAATTTTATGAAGTTGAGTTAGATTTGGAAGGCTGAGTAGTCTAAGGATATAGCTCGCTCTAGCTTCTCAATTGTGACCAAATTTTGCTGGTTCTAATCAATTGATAGATTGGCTTGTAAAATTTGAGAAGATTATAAGTTTTAGTTAGAAGCCTTTGTTTCCCTTTGATCATGTCGACCTTATTGTGGAGGAATGCGGGATATGACTATAAATGGTGGGTTTACCCTCTTGTATGGGATAAGTAGTATTTTAGCCTCATTTGGAGTGCATGTGTTAGTTTAAGCTTGTCTTGGAGTATTGTTGGACTTGGACATATATTTTGATCGAGGGTTTGTGATTGTTTGGGAGATCCATGTTTTTTGGAGAATTAAGATCAATATGGTTCAAAACTACATGTTTTGGTCACCTTATTTTTGTGATTTTGTTGGACAAAAAATATAGAGAAGGTTTAATTTTGTGATTCAAGAAAATTCTAGATTTGGATATGTTGGAATTTGGGTTAGAAATTTTATTGTAGTAGAGATAGTTGAGGAGAGTTTGCTAACCAAATTTTAGAATTGTTTGATAAAATTGCTTATAGTGAGTGCAAACTTTGGATTTTAGAATTATTTTCAGAAGCTTGCAAATAATTTCAAAAGATGAAATTTTGCCATTAAACTAGATGAAATTTTGGTGTAAAATATTATAGTGGATAATGATTGATGAGGGGAAGCTCCCATTGAAGTCTTAGAATTTTCATAATTTTTGGGAATCTCTTCCAATTTGGGATATTTGGTAGATTTTAGTATGCAAATATGGAATTTTGAGTTAAAATTCCTATGATTGGCAGAGCTCATTAGAAGTAGGATGATATTAACCAAATTTAATAATTTTTTGAGCTTTTAAAAATTTATGGTGAATTTCAAAAGTTAGCGCATGCACACTTATTTTGCTTGGTTTGTGCATGAATATCAGATTTGTTAGCTAGCTTTTGTGCTATGGAGCTTAATTTGAGGTAGATGATCAATTGGTAAATTTGAAGAGCTTTGGGTGTCATGATCATGGCTTACTATTTCGGGTAAAAGAACCTTCTAAGATGCTTCAAAAAGGGATTTAATGACTCTGATTAAGCCTTAATGTGTAGTTGGCTTGATTTTAGACTGATCATTAAACCTTAATGCACACTTGGTTTGATTTTAGACTATTCATGGGAGAAAGTATCTTTGATTTTTGGAGCTTTGCAATGGTTAAAAGCTGAATTTGATTTGTCTTGGTTGATTTGAGTTTATTTGTAGTCGTCTTGATTAGACGAGTCATGAAATTGAGTGTGGATTAGATAAATCCGAGGGTTGCTTTTGTGAATTTAGAGTTGCTGAAATTGAGCGTTCAAATCACTAACTTCACTTTTTTGAAGCTTTGATCATTGTAGGAACCATGGTTTAAAAAGGTGTTTGAGGCGTACGCCTCGAGGTGCGCCTTGATTCGAGGCTCATCTTTGACGCCTCGAGGCTTAAGCCTTGGTGGTCTGGTGAAGGCTTACGATTTACTTCATTAAGGCATATGCCTTGAGGCATCCTCAAGGCAGTTTGAGGCGCTTCCTCGAACAATTTTATTTTATTGTTTTAATTCAAAAGAGTCGAGAGCGCTTATTAGATTTATGGTTCATCAATTCAAAACAATGGTTCCAATCTTCGCCCCTCTTTTGTAGCTCACAACGAAGGAAACACTCTCTTGGCTTCGTGTGTATTGCTTCAGCCTCGTTTTCTTTGGCCTCACTTTGTGTCAGGGCGAGTTCTTTGTGAAGAGGTGACGATCCATCTTCCCTTTCAAGCCTATCGAGCTCATAGGCTTCGATAGCTTCGTGAGAAGCAATTACGAAATTTAAGACGTTCATTTCTTATACAAGGCATTTATGTTAAAGTTAGATAAGCTTAATTTATATTTCTTAAAGTTTAACAACTTCATCTTACACTATTGCTTTTTCTAGTTTTGGTCAAGCTGGAAGTAATCAATTGGTCACTACAGATAATTCTTTTTCATAATTTCTTAAGCACCGAGATATAAATTGCGTTTGCTATAGCTTTCTTCTTTAAGAATACATATTTTTTTGCTGTCAGGGCTCTTTAATTGCATTAGCACCTTTTTAAATGAATTTCACCACGAATAATTCTTTTTTGTTTGAGTTGTATTTGCTATTGCTTTCACTTTTTTTTTTTTTAAATTTATATGGTTGAATTACCTTCATTAGCTTCATATCAAGATTTTTTTTTTTATAAATTTATATGATTGAATCGTATGGAGGCATCATTTAGATGGGCTAAAATTGGGTTGATGGAGAAAAGAGTGATTTTTTTAGTATTTATTTTGAATATTTTGTTCCAATAACATTTATCTTTAAACAAGTCATCATGTTCATAATTTACTTGATATTTTATCATTTTATGAGTTATTTATAATTTTTTTGGTACTTTAATTTCTCCGTTTTGAGGTTTATGCCTCGATCCGTCTCGAGGCTTATGCCTCGCTTCACTAAGGAAAAACGCCTCTATTCTCGATATCGCGTTTAAAACCTTGCTTGGAACTTGTTATAGGTGCTTTGGTTTGAGTTTAGTTTGTTCATAGTCCACTTGGAGACATTCTAAGCCTTCAATTTACATTGTTCTTGTTTAGATGCACTATCCAAGAGTTATACTTGCCTATAAGTTAGTTTTTTGCTCTACCATAGGAGGGTGATATCTTCATTCCATATTTTTGGTTCTTTGTATTTTATGATTTTTTAGTGTTAGAAATTAGTTTTAGCCCATTTTCATCCAATTTCATCTTGTTGGTAACTTTGTGGTAGAGAACATTTTACCATTAGCTATGGTTGATGAGTAAAAATGGCATAGTGGGTGGTGTGTAGTAGTAAGGTGATTTTGGAGACCTATGTTTAGGATAAAGATAACTATGCTTTGAGGTGATAATAACCTCCTCTTTAAAAGGGACGATCAATTTTTATTTTTTAATATATAACTAGTTTAAAAAGATTAAAATATATTTAATAATACTAATTTAAATTAATTTTAGATATTTTTTAGTTTAATCAAGTGGCTTAATGAGCTTACAAGCCGAGCCAGGCTGATCTCAAGCTCGAGAGTTGGATTATGAGTCAACTTGTAGAATGCGCAGATTGGATTGTATATATGGCACCACCTAGAGATTTCAGTCTTATTTTGCAAGGATTTTGTGTTCTACTTCTAAGTTTCTCATAGGTGTTAAGTCCCTGAGTTAATTATCTCCCCAATAAAGATAAAGAACTTTTGATTAAGGTTAAATATTATATGCTAAATGCTTAGCTTATTGTAGTAACAATTTGGTTTTGAAAGGAGAAAATTTATTACCTTTAGTTTATAGTAGATAGTAGGAGTGATGATGAATTCGAGCAAGATCCAATTATTCTGTTGTCCCAGGCTATCATGATTTTTGATCTACTTCGTGGGCTTGATTGAAAGATTCTTGTCAACAAGCATGGCTTGTATCGTCTAAGGAGATCTTATAAATTTGGGGCAGATGTTTCCTTAAAGAGATAATTTTAAGCCAATCTTAGCTAACGGAGGGCTTCGTGCCCTTTAAGTGTTATCATAATTCACCACATAGAGGACTAGGCCATTGGAGAACTTGCAAGCTTTGGCATGATCATAATTTAATGCGACCATATTATGGAAAACAACTTGGTTAGATGACTTTGATCATAACCGTCTTTATTGTGCGATTTGATGGCAAAATCACTTTTATAGAGGATTTGGGCCATGTCGTTATTGGCATGAGATCTATGAGAGGGACTATATATGTACACTTGATATGACATTAGCTATTTGTGAGCTTAGGTTATCTTTAAATTTGTCATCTAGATTTGGGCCCAAAATAATTTGCATTAAGATTTTGGGGCATTTTGAAATTTTCTAGTCAAGACGGTCATTATCGAGAATTTGTTTGCATCATTCATATTTTTAATTTGAAAGTTTAATTTTTGAAAATGGACCCTTACATTATGATTTTCAATAATAAGCCTACTCGAATGCTTGAACTTGATTGCTTAAAACTTGTCGACTTTTCTTGCTTGTTCTTGGATGATTGGGTTGATAATTTGCATATGGTTTAAGTTCACTTGGATATTCATTATATAGACTTTATCAATTCTACTCCCACATATAGATGATCAAGTCTATGAATGGAACTTGAGACTAATATTGTAGGTGTAACATCAAGAGTTTGCATTTTGAAGATAAAATTTTATTTTGAAAGGCTTTGAAGGACTTATGTAAATATAAAATAAAATATCTTATTATTTAATGTTGTTGTGTAGATGTTCGTAATGAGGTTTAGGTCTTGTCGAATCTCGTATTTGAGATGTTGAGGATCGTGCTTGAATTGTAGGACTTATGACTATAATCTAGAGGTAGGGTGGGCGATTAATTTGATTTTGTTTTTTGGAATTAAATTCAATTAGATAAAGAAAAAAAAAAGTGAATGGAGTCATCGCATAAATTATCCTCGTTCTTGCATGCCGATTATGTGTTCTTGGCCTCGAGCCATGGTAAAATCTCTTCTTTTTCTTGTGCAATGATTATGACAATACGAGTGTTCTTAAGCAATTGTGACATCCCAAATGTGTTGATGTAGTTCGTATTATAAAATGGCAATGTTTGAGTGCTTTTTGATATGTTTATAGCATTTCAAACTTGATTTGTGTGACATTTTATCTGTTATCCACCTTTTTTATTTTGTTTGATTGAATCAATCATGCTAGTTCTCTTTTAATAATTTATATGCTTTAGACATCAACATTGACCTTTTTACTAATTGAGCAACATTTAAGTTCCTTTTAATGTATGTGAGGAATTTCAATTTGATCTCTTTTGTTGTATCCAATCAAATTAGGTTTTGGAGTTTATTGAATCAACAAATGCCTCCCAATAAATATGGTGTGTGCCTAGAGTGGATAATATTTGTTGCAAATTAGTTGACCTTGTGGATCTTCAAAAGTTAGTTTGGATGTCACTAAAAGGGCTTGGCTTTCTAGTTCTTCAGGACTATTTGGGAGTTATAATTGTATGCTTTAAGTAGGATATTTTCCTAGGGTTAGGTTATCTTGTATTTTTTGAAATTTGGTGAGTTCTTAAGTTTAATTGGGCTCTAGCGGTGTCTAGAGAATTGGGAGAGCTAGATCATCCTCTCCAATTGAGGATCAATTGTTTCTTGTTATTTTCTTCCGCTATTATCAATTAAAAGAGTATATTTTTTGTTATTCCACCCTCTACTCTTAATTTCTGCTTTTGCGGCTGAATTTCAAACTCAGCCAAGGTTCTTTCCTTTTTCTACAAAATTTCCTATCAGGTTCTTCCACTTTTTCCTTAACTTTTTGACTATTGGGAATGCCTTTGATCTAGGTTACTTGACTTATCAAGTTATATAGGCTTGAAATTTGACGTCTCGTCATCAAATTGGTGAATGGGGGTTTTCTTACTGGGGTTGTTCTTAGGTGTTATATAATTAGGTCAACTGGCAATGATTCCACCATATTTAGGTGTGTGAAGCTAAGTCTTTTGGACCACTCGACTTCTAGACCTAAGTTATGGGGGAATTTGTACTTTGTCAACTTAATTTGTTGAAGTTTGCAAACATGAGTGTTCTTTTTTGGCTTTTAAGGTCTTAAAACCTTCATATTTAAGAATATCTCTACATAACTTTATGGATGATTTATTGAATGAAGATTATCTCTTTGACTTTACAATGACTCGATGACTAGTTGGGAAATTCTCTTCGATCTGGGTCAGATTTTCTGGCTGTTGGGTTCATCCCCCCTGTTTTGGCCTCTTCGGTTCCTCTGCTTGCCTTGTTCTCCCCCCCTGTTTTGGCCTTTCGGTTTTTTACCTGCCTGGTTCCTTCACCCTGGCGTTGGCTGTGTTCTGCTGGCCTTTCAGGTGCTACTCCCTCCGTTTGCCTTTTGGCCTTCTGCCTCCCCTTTTTTGCTGATTGGATTCCATGGGCGGCTGTTTGGGCTGTATGGCTCCCTCTCCTCTCATATATATAGTGGCTGATTTGAAGCTTTAGGGAGGTTGTTTTGTGTGATAAAATATTTGGAATGTAAAAACCTGAGGGTTTTTAGATAGCTTGCGAGCTAAGTCCTTTCTTTTCTCCTATCTTTGACTTCGTCTCGGGCTTCTTATCTATTTCTTCTCTCCGCAAGTGTCCACCCTATTTGTATCTTTCTTCTCAATCAATATAAAAGCTTTTTTAGGTGTTTTATATGTTCTAAAATTATGAGTTGTAAGGTGTTTTGTTAATTTTGAAAGGAAGACGCTTGTTTATTTGCAATCATAGAATTTTCTAAATTTTTGATTGCATCAATTTGGTAGCAGAGCTTAGGTTTAGGCTGGCCGCTGGGTTCATCCCCCCTGTTTTGGCCTCTTCGGTTCCTCTGCTTGCCTTGTTCTCCCCCCCTGTTTTGGTCTTTTGGTTCTCTACCTGCCCGGTTCCTTCACCCTGGCGTTGGCTGTTCGTTGGCTGTGTTCTGCTGGCCTTTCGGGTGCTATTCCCTTCGTTTGTCTTTTGGCCTTCTGCCTCCCCTTTGCTGATTGGATTTCATGGGCGGCTGTTTGGGCTGTATGGCTCCCTCTCCTCTCATATATATAGTGGCTGATTTGAGGCTTTAGGGAGGATGTTTTGTGTGATAAAATATTTGGAATGTAAAAACCTGAGGGTTTTTAGATAGCTTGCGAGCTATGTCCCCCTTTCTTTTCTCCTATCTTTGACTTCGTCTCGGGCTTCTTATATATTTTTTCTCTCCGCAAGTGTCCACCCTATTTGTATCTTTCTTCTCAATAAATATAAAAGCTTTTTTAGGTGTTTTATATGTTCTAAAATTATGAGTTATGGTGTTTTGTTAATTTTGAAAGGAAGACGCTTGTTTATTTGCAATCATAGAATTTCCAAATTTTTGATTTCATAAGTAATGAATGATAAAAATATGCCCGCCATATAAGTTAATAAAATTAGTATGAAAGGATTATAAAAGAAATTGAGTAGATATTGTTTTGCAAAATGATTTATAAAGAATGAGTTTAACACCTCAAATAGCACTCAATATGGATGAATGGAGAATGATGATTCACGTAGACACCAAATATTTGGGATATGGATTATGATGATGCTGCTGCTGCTGATGTTGACAACGTAATGTAAACTAAATGAGTGGTTTGGGCATGTCTACATAAAGATAGAAGATGCATCAATAATATGGTTGATAAAATAATGTTGAAGGATTATGAAAAAATGGACAAATTGAAGGCAACATGGTGTAAAATAGGTTTGACACTTAATTTAACAAATAAGTATGAACAAATAGTGCAGTTGTAAAGCCAATTCCAAATAGGCGGGTTAAGGCTAATGATGGTGATCATGAAAGCTTATATTTCCTATCAGTGAAGTAACATCCAGTTTGTTCTCAATTATCCTAAAAATATGAGAACTAGAAATAATTAGAGAAGCATCCTTGCTTTATATGTGTTGTACCATATTTAGGCCATCTCCAACCGAAAATCCCATTTTCACTCCAAAATGCAGTGAAACTCAAAAATGCGTGATTCATCTCCAATGGAACTCCATTTTGTTTGCTTCTGCGAAGGTAACGGTCTTTCTCCTCTTTCGCGCGTTTCTTCGGCAAATCCGGTTGAGACAGAAAAATCGCATAGGTGAACAGTGCAACGCCAATATTGGCGTCACACTGTTCACCTGCAAGCAAATAGGGGAAGATTTGACGTTCGGCTGGAGCGACCGAACGACACCATACGCATGTTTGGCGTTCGGTTGGAGATGTCCTTATATTTTGAAGTTTCAAAAATAGAAAAAAAGGGAAGCAGTTGTACGAGGCACATACCTGCACATTTTTTATGTCAATCTTGCTGCAGTCACTGATGCTTCAAAGAAAACTAAATTGAGATGATCATCTTCTTTTTTTTCAATTTGCTGCAAGACTTCTTGGCTTTTTTAAAAGCTGTATTCTGTTTACTGAAAACAAAAAAACTCTGCTGGCAGGATGACATAAGGAGAGAAGCTCAAACAATGAGTTTGATAGACCACCCTAATTTGATTAAGGCATTTTGCTCATTCGTAGTTGAACACTGCCTCTGGGTTGTTATGCCATTCATGGCTCAGGGTTCATGTTTGCATCTGATGAAGACTGCATATCCTGATGGGTTCGAAGAACCTGTTATTGGATCAATTCTTAAGGAAACTCTCAAAGCTTTAGAGTATCTTCATAATCATGGGCACATTCATCGTGATGTCAAGGTTAGTTTATTTAATGATGAATATTCATTATGTACTTTTCAGTGCTCCTTGTTCATGAATCCTCCTCATTACAGGCTGGGAATATCCTTCTTGATAATTCTGGTGCTGTGAAGCTTGGTGATTTTGGTGTGACAGCTTGCATGTTTGACAAGGGTGATAGGCAATCTTCAAGGAATACCTTTGTAGGCACGCCATGCTGGTAAGATCTACTATTTTTTTGATCTTGACATTATGATTTACTTAACGCTCTCTTGAGAAATCATGCAAAATTTCACTAAAATTTCTTTTGCTAGGATGGCACCAGAGGTCCTGCAACCTGGTAGTGGATATAATTTCAAGTAAGCAGTTACGATTTAAATCACATGCAAATAAATAGCATCAAGATAATAAAATTCTAACTAAATTAGAGGAAAGTTATTTCTGTCATGCTAAGAATATTCGCCATTATACCTAGTTTTTTGGGCTGTTTAGCTTCTTCTCATTATGATTAGACTTAATTGTTCCAAACATCTTATTATTGTGCCATGTTCTATGTGTTGTCCAATATGTTGGTGGGAAACATTTTTTGATGGAAACAAGATGTACTGAAGCTTGTATATTTCTCCTTTTAATAGAGCTGACATCTGGTCATTTGGAATCACCGCACTTGAGTTGGCACATGGTCATGCTCCTTTCTCCAAGTACCCTCCAATGAAGGTGTTGTATGGTTTTGCATTTTAAATTTTAAAATTGTACTTGTGAAGATATATGATGCTTGATGTATGGATTTTACTTGACTGGGATAATGAAATTATGTGAAGTAGTTACGCATTATGCACAGCTTACAAGATAATGCGGTAGATGCTCTAATAAATTCACTTTTCATTCAGTAAAGTGATCTTATTTGGATCCATAAAAGCTTGTTAACTTGGTTGATATGCATTGACGAAGTTGTTTTAAACTCTCATACTAACATTGGTGTGAATCTTGGGTCTGGACTTTTAATGGATATCCACCAAAGATTGGATATATTCTCAGTCTAATGTTTTAGAAAGGATGTAGAAGCCTTGGATGGGTTGGTGGAAGAGTGGTTGCAAACTATTGATAACTATTGGTCGGCCAAGGGCTAGACAGAGGCCTTGGTCGAGAGCCATTCCTTAAGGGTGATTAATTTAGTGATTGGAAGTGGGGAAACTCTAGGGGATAAAATTGCTTTAAATGGATAAGGTGATGTCTCTATTGTAATTCTGGAGCATTTGGTGGTACTCCAAGGGGTTTATAGGAATGTAAATGGAGTTGGATCAAAACTTGGTTAGGGAAACCTAGTTTTGGCCAAGAGCCTTAATATTTACTGAGTACGGGGAGGCTTAGGATAAGGTATCGGAGTGGTTAAGATCTCTACAACAAAAGAAAACTGAGATCACAAAAAGATGATCATTACAATTGCCACCAAACAATTTCTAAATTTTGAATTTTGGTTTCCAAGCCTGAATTCGAAGGTGCTGTTTGGCTTCAAGTTATATTTAATTCAAGTAGGATTTAATAAATCTTATAAATTCAAATTTATTAAATTCTGGAAAAATTAAGCCCTTTAAATTATTTGTCATACAAGAGATTAAATTTGATTAAATCTTGATAAACTATTTTGATTAGGATTTACGTCTATCAACTCAAATAAAATTTTTAATAATATCAAATTACTTGTTAATATTTGTTAGTGATTAATATTAATTTATTTGCATCTAATTTATATCATTGAATATTATTATTTATTATTTTAAAATTTTAAAAATCTTAATTAAACTAATTAAATCTTACGTATCAAATATTAATATATAATTAATTATTAATTAATAAATAGTAAGTTAATGAAGCATAAAAAAATTTCTTTAAAATTTAACTTCTAGATGAAGATCTCAATATTAATCATCAGCAACATGATAAATTTGAATTTCCTTATTATCCAATGGCTGATTATTGTTCTCATATGATTTACTATTATTTTAAAGAGAAAAAGATTAAGAAAAAAAAAGAAAAAAAGAAAAGTTGATTGGAGCGAAAATGGAGTTTGGAAAGGAACTGTATTGCCTATTCATTTCTATAATTTCTCATCCTTGGTCTTTCTATATGCCCTTCCTATTTCCCTAGGCCAAGCCAAGCTGTGCTTTTCTTCGTTTCCATTTCTTCATTATTGCTTTGGCTTCACGTGTTTTGTATGAAGTAGTTTTTTGAAAGAGTTTCAAAGCATCTTTGCATCCTTTGATGACCTCAGACCTGAAGTCTTGATGGGAGCTTGCCACGAAGCCAATGATATTTCTCCCTTTGGCCTACTCCTAAATCTTGTAAATTTGCCGAACTTAGGATTTGGGAAAAATGGAGAAGCAACGGGATTTAAGATTCTATAAGATTTAAATTTATCGTTTTTGTTGTTTGGCAGGAGTTAGCCTAAATCTTGCATCCAAATAGCCCCTACGAGTAAACACTCAAGATTTTTTTCTCCAAATGTCAATCTCTCTATTATTCTTATAGTAAGCATTTGTAGTGTTTGATAAATAATTCAAGCTTCAAATAAAGGAGGAGAGAATTAGAGGCCGGCTCACATGAAAGGGTGCAAGGGTGTTGAAGCAATAACCCTTGGCCAAATGATGCAACTCCTCCTTTTCACTTTGAACTCAATAATAAAACTCACAATTTTGTGTTTTAATGTAGTTTTTTTCTTATTCAATGTTTGGTTAAATATGATTTATTTTATTTTGGGGTACAGTTGCCCCATAGTGGCAAGTCTCTATGGTTAATCACATTTCAAGCATTTGTTACTTGAGAATACTTTTGATGGTAGTCATTAAACTATTGATTAATATTTTCATTTTTTTAAATTTGAGAAATTGTTGTTCAAATATTTGATATTTTGGAATTTCAAAGAAGATATAATCAACTTAAAATTAGATTTTTAAGAATGGAAGCCAAATGGTGGAAAATATAGGAGCACTTGATTTTGAGAGGCTCGGAGTTGCTCCAATTATCTTATGTTTGACTTTACATTTTAAAATTACATTTTTGTTTGAATTGATCAACTTCATTTAGAAAGTTTGAGCTTATATTCAAACAACATAGGTTGGGAGAAATGCCCGAAATGTGAGGGCTTATGAAGTGACTGATGTCAACCTCAACCTCGAATCTTAGATCTAAGATGATGATTATTGAGGGATAGTACCTCGAATCTAAGTTTAATTGAGTGCAAAAGATGTACAAACCTACATCTCATATGAGGTATAAGTTAGCTCAACCTTTGAATTTACAACCCTGGCTGGAAATAGCTTCCAACTAATCCACCTAATTGTTTTTAAAACCATGATATCCAGTTTCAATGCATATGAAGATTAGAGAGGCTATTTTAATTTAGAAGATAAGACTAACAATTTGACTTTTAGTCTGAGATGCCTGATCATATGTGTATGCAAAATGCTGACTCACTGGATGCAAATTTTTGTTATATAATCTGTAATGTGAGGTTTTCTACATGAGATACACTGGGCTATACATGATCATTTTTATTTTTTTTTATTTGAAAAAGTGGCTTATTTGAGTAAGAAAATAGAAAAATATATATCATCCTATTATAGATTTTTTTATTTAGATATTTTAATTGGTAGAAATCTTAAATTTATTCTAAGAGCCTATCATATAACTTATGTCCAGACCACCCCAAGCACGAACAAGTGAACAAATCTAAGAAAAAATAGATATTTCTATTGCGCACTCAGTAACTAAACAAACATGTTTATATATTATCGACCTAAGCAAAAAAGTAATGTGTAATGTCCAATTATTACAATTATAATTCGTAGTTAAATTGCCTGCCTTATACAATCCATTTACATTTCTTTTTTACACTCAGCCTATGAGTCTTCATGCTTTGACTTCTAGATGCATCCAGAGCTTCACCTAGGGTGTTCATCCTTCTGGTTCATTTCTCTTGTAATTGTATCCTACAGACCTATAATACTTTCCAAGTCTATCAAATACATTTGAAAAATGAAAAGAATTAAAATTGCAAGATAGGGGGATTAGGAAGCAGTTTAATTTGTAAGGCAAAGAATCATCACAAAATTTGCCTGGCACTTGAAGTGCCATGCTCTATTTCTACCTTATTGGCAATGCATATTTAGGAGGTTTTATGTAGCACCTGAAGCAAACAGTGTTAAATAGCTATGACTTATTTTTTCCCCTTTTTGGACATGACCACCTGCAAAAAAAGCATGTATATCTCTATCTTATCCACTTAAGGGTAAGTGTCCACAATGTAGTCAATTTAATGTACATCACGTCAAACACATGCGCACAAAAAATAATCCTAATCCCATAATGCCTAGGGTTGTGTACTTAAGTGTGGCTAGTTGGGTGATATGTCACACTATAATTGATATTTTATTTTATTGAGTAGAGGATATTTAATTTTAATCTTAAGGTTGATTTTACTTTAAGTTGCTTATGACTTGAAGCTTTTATTTGATTCTTAATTGTTTCATATTTTGAAGTTATATGAAGAACCCATAATATAGCCACTGCTTGCTTTGTGGCAAGCCTGTTACTTATGGAATTCTAAGATCTATTAATATAGAAATTTCATCTTTTGGGTGGAAGATTTATCATTGCATCAAACGGAAACTAAGTGTTTTTTCGGTATTTTTTAGGGTTTTCTTTGTCTTTGGACAAGAGAAAAATATCCACCGAATAGGGTAAGGTAAATATGTCTAGGGGTTTGACTTAAGATTTATTGAAATTCACCTAATAGAGTAAGGTGAATTGCAATAGAAAAACTCTTATAGGACATCAATAAGTTATGTTTTAAATGCCATAAACGAGAGATAATAACTTGTTTTGTTAAATTAAAGGTTTCTTAGAGTTTGGGTCTAAGTGGAGGAGAGATTATTTATTTGATTTGGGCTAAATAGATAGTCTTTGTCTTTAAGGCCAAAGAGGGAGAAACTCTTATTTGATTCGGGTCTAATAGGAGGAGCTAAGGCTTACAAGCCTATGGCTAAAAGGTCATCTACTTGATTGAGGATTAAGTAGATGAAGATGATAAAAGACACAAAACTTTGGAGCTAAGGGTTGAAGAATTCCCTTTAGGTTTGGAGCTAGGGGGATGAATGATTTCCTATAGCACTTGAGGATAAGTAGTTAGAGACTTTTCTAGGACCTTTGGTGTCCATTCAAATGAGGGAAGATTCGTAGCTTTTGGGCTATAAATATACAACTTTTCTTTGAAATTTTTTTGTGTTTAAAAAAGGCTGATCATTTGCTTAATTTGGGCTAAGCAAAATGAAGAAGCTAGAATTTTGAATTCTAAGTTTAATGACAGGAGAGTTCACCAATTGATTTTGACTCAATAGTTGAAGTAGATTATTTTAAATTTTGGGTTTATAAACCATAAAAGATCATTGAAATTTTATGTTCAATGAGAGATGCTTGATTTGCTTGATGTGAATGAAGTAAATGCGAGAGGATGATAATATGATATGTAGATTGGGACTACAAATCAAAAGAGATTTTTTGAACTTTTGGGTGTCCAAAGAGATACTCATTCATACAACTTGGGTTAGGAGAATGAAAGGGAGACAGAATTTTGATTTCTATGCTTGAGGTGAAGTTATTTGTTGATTTTAATTTCTTGGTTTATGTTTGATCTCTAATGTTAGCTAATGCTCCTCCAA